AAAGAAAGAGGACATAGTCGAGTAGTAAATGGAAGAATCAGACGGGACGAAGGGAGTATTATGGGAAGATGTTAACCTTTGGGGCACTGGTAACTCGACATACAAGACATGACTAATTACATGGGCAGCCTAACAGAAGCTTTACTATAGAGTAGCTTGTTCCTGAAATAGGGGTGTACAGGTCGTATCACTTGAAGGAAACTCTCCTAGTTATGTACCGTATAAGATTTCCATATTGTGATTGCATATTTGCATGAGTGTAGTTTGTTGTTTAGAACCTGAAAGTAAATGCCGTTCTGGGCAGTAAATGCTAATAATTGGCTGTTTTCGTTTTCATTGATAAGATACATGAACACTCATGAATCCACATTTTTTAAATGTGATGGAAGTCATGATAGATGGGTCAAAAATGAAATGACAAGATAGGGTTTCCACAATACTTCTTTGTCCCACGATGAAGTTTAGACTTTCCTTTTCCTTCTGTTCTAAAATAAGGTTTACATTTCTCTCATTTTTTCTAGAAAAGGGATATGTGGTTCAATATATTTTTTACCAACAAATTCCAACCACCAACGTTTCACGCTTCAACATAAGTCAAAGTGTTACGGAACGGATGGAGTATAATATTGTTTAGCTTGTAGGCTGAGCCTAATCCTCAAAGCACTCTTTTAAAGGGATTAGTTGATCCCCACTAAGAGCAATTCTAAGTAGGATATCTTGTTAATTTAATCCTAATTATTGTGGGAATTTTTGATGGTTCAATTTTTTAAGAAGTTGAAAACTTGGTTTAGCAAGTTATTTGGTGTATTTGAAAGTATTTGTCATTGAAAATTTGAGCATCAAATTTTGTTGTAAAAATCTACAATGTTATTATTTATTAATGATCATCCCAAAAATCTTAAATCCACATTCAGATTAATAAACCAGACACAGAAGCAAACATAAAACTAGTACATAGACTAGTAGACAACAAAGATCTCTCACCTTGATAGAAAGGAAACATATATAATGTTAGAGGACATCATGCTCTTCTTAATTTGGAAGTGACGACAGGTGAGCTGTGAGCACATTTTGAGGTGAGCTGTGAGCATATTTTGACGGTATGATCTATCACTTGATATATAGGAGGGAAGGTGGAGAATTTTTTGAGCATCTAACTGAATGTATGCTTTATTCATTAATTGGATTTATGCACACTTGGTGTGTATCTGAAAAGAGGAGTAGATATATTTTTTTTTGCTTACTGTTATCTTGTCAATATGTTTTTGGGAGAAAAGTATAGGGACAAATATGTGATATTTTCTTGAAAAGAACCCAGGTGTGGCTTAGACAAGTGCTTACTGTTTTTCTTTTGATTGAGGGATTAAAAGTGGGCCGTATAAATACTAACAGTCAATGCACAAGCAGTTCTATAATATTTGTTTGGGGGAACAATGGTCAAAACAAGTGATCGACAGACAGCAAAAGGAGAGAACCCATTTAGACAGCGAAAGGAGAGAACCCATTTAGATTATGGATTGAGTTAATTTGGTGGAACCCTGTGTTCGTCTGTCGGTCTGTCTAATATTTAACCTTACGCTGTTTTCCTCTTCAATTGAATGACAACATTTATCACCCCTTGTTTCATCTCCTTCCACCCCTCATCATTTGTGTCATGCCAAATTACCAATCACACCCTTAACCAACACTGTTCAAAGTAGGGATTCCTGGCGTTATCATGCTTTCAAGTGTTTTAAAACTCTAGTAAAGTCAAGGGCTCTTGTAGAAATAAGACATCCTATCAAATCCATCATTGCAATGGTTTTTTATAGTACTCTCTAGTTTGAACTTTGGACATGCTGGCATTATCCGTGTTTATTATATTTCTCTATTAAAAAACTAACCGCCTCTTCTAATTTTTGAGCACGTTCATTCTGTTCTGCAGGTCACTTCTACCCTAATGTTTGCCGCAGCTTGTGCTTCAGCAGGCATCACTGTCCTAATCGGGAATGACCTCGGAGTCTGTGCCCAAAATCACTGCACGGAGTTTGAGACTGCTACAACAATGTCTTTTCTTACCTGGTTTGCATCTATTCCGTCTTTCGTTCTAAACTTTTGGTCTCTGTCATCCCAGTGCAGATGTCTGCCAGCCTAATGCATTACACATAGGAACCTGGCAAAATATATACTTGAAAAAAAATTTGCTAAAACTGCACACCCCATTCACACCACCCAAAATTTTTGAACTACTCAAACAACTTCTGTCTGATTGTGGACAAGTTTTGCGTGGAAGGTGTATAAAAATTTGTCGTCTCTATAGTTCAAATTTCAAAACTAGTGTTGTGTAAGAGTGGTGTACATAATAATATAGTTGTGTATATACAAATAATTGTTATATAACCAAACTCGGTTTCTTTTTTTGTCAAAGACCACACGGTTTCTAAAGGTCATCGTAAATGTACAATGTTTAGTTTCTTTTCGAAGTACTCTACACTGCCGGTCTCGTTGACTCATATTTTTGGGACATGGGATCCCCTGTATACCTGAATCAGACAAGTAACATGTCCGGTCATTTGACACAGTTCTCAAACGACCATAATTGTACACCACAAAACTGTTGGTCTGGTCTCGCATTCATAAACTTTAATGTTTGTCATGCTATAGTGTACTTTTTGCTATTCCGGTTTCTATGTCTGATTTTTTTAAAACTAATATGGGGATTAAATCTGTGACCTCTCAGTCTTCTCTAATATGAAAGAGTCACTATCATACTGTTGGACTGCCCGGCCTTTGGCAATTTTTCCGATTTCAACATAAAGTTAATCTGGCCTGTTCTTTATATAGGGAGTACAAAATTGAATACGAGTATTATACTCTAATTGAGAAGTTCTATTCACCGAAATGATTAACTTGGGCTCTGTTGCATCTACCAGACTTGTATTGAATCTATTTAATGTCCACCCACCAACCTCATTTAAACCATGTTTGGTTCAAGGAATTTGAGAAGGAAAGTAAAAGAAAAAGAAAATGAGAAGGAATATTTTTCTTATTTGGTTAGAGAGGAAAAGAAAAGAAAAGTTGAAAGAAAAGAAAAAGAGAAGGTAAAATGTACTAAGAAAAAGGAAAACTAAATTCCTCCCATTTTAGTAAGAAAAAACGAGGGAAGATGGTTTTCTTTTCTTTTCTTACCAAATTCTTTGAACCAAACATAGTGGTAGAATTCTAAGAGCCAATTAGCCGAATAGTCACATCAAAGATGATAAATTAAGTTTTAATCATACTCCCTCTGTTCTTAAAAACCTTTCATGTTTTGACTTTTTTTAGTCATTCAGCGACACTCTTTGACCCTAAATTGTGGGAAAAGTATATTTAATTATAATATAAATTCAATATGATTGGATTCATCTTAGGATATAGTTTTGATATATCAATTGTTTTGTCATTTGTTTATTTAGATTATATTTGGTTTATGGTCAAAGATTGTCAGTGTTTGACTAAAAAAAGTCAAAATAGGAAAGATTTATAGGAGCAGAGAGAATATATATTTAGTATAATTGTCCAACAATGTAGTTTCCAAGAACTAAACTTGAATTTGCACTTTTGGCACCATTGCTCAACCAACTAAGCTACGCCCCATGACACTAATCTCATTTTCACTATTTGATCTAAGAAATTCGAAAAAATGTTAAAGAAAATTGAACACTACTTTCTTGTTGGGTTAAAGAAAAAAGTGAAAGCAAAGAAAAATGATCAGAAAAAGTAAATTAAAAAATAAGTAATATTTTAAGAAGTAAATGAAGAAACTCTTTTTTTTCTTCCTTTTCAAAATCTTTGAAACAAACAAAAAAGTATTATTAGAGTTTTTCTGTGCTATAAATTGGTCAAAATTTATTTATAAAGTATTTTTAACATGAAAATCAAATGACGATGTTTTCTTTATACTTGTAAGCAGCTTAGTCTTTACTACTCCCTTCGTCCTAAAATCATCTTCCTGGTTTGACCGGAGTTCATTTTTAAGGGAGTGTAAAATATATTCTGACTTTCCTAAAATACCCCTCAATAATCCTTGTCTAGAGAAAACAATAAAGAAAAGATTTCATTTAAATCCAACACCAACACCAACAGATGTTTTGAAGAAAAAAACACAATCATATTCAAGAACCGACCCTAGAAGATGAAAAAAGATAAACTTGAATAATATATGTTTTAGATTTGGGTTTAAGTCCGACATGACCAGGGACCACCATCGAGAAAACGGAGAGGAAAAACTCTTTCATATGACAACCCGGAGGAGGAGATGACTTCCAGTTCTCCGACCACCATTGTTCGCAGCTTGGATTGCGCGTGCATTTTACGGGAGCCCCATTTCAAGATCTGTCACTGAATCTACCAGATCTACTTCCCATGCCTCACCCTCCTGGTCAGGCCAACAACAGAAGAAAAACTGTCATTTCAAAAAAATTAAATGAAGAGGAAGATGAAATGAAAAGACAGAAGAGAAAAATTGAGAGAGATTTTAAAGAAGAGTAGGTTGAGAGGAGGGGGGCATTTGTTTTTTAGGGAGAAGAGAGACGAGAGAAAAAATAGATCAGAAGATTACATCTATTGTTTCAAGAGAGAGAGAAAGATGATCGAGAGAGAGAAGAAGAATGTGATATGGTTCTTTGTATCTTTTTTTAATTTGGGAAGATAGTCTTAGAACGGGAAAAAAATGAAATGGGAAGAATGTTTTAGGACGAAAGGAATACTTATTCTTAAATCAATTTTTGCAGAAAAAAAATCATTTAACCAAATTATTTACAAAATTATTCTTTCCCATTTATTAATATTCCCAGATAACTAAACAATCTTTTTAACTATTTTATTTCGTAATATCTAACTTATAAGCAACATATAAGTTAAAAGTTGCTTATAATATCTTAACAAACACTAACACAGAAACAATCTTAATATTTCTACACATGGAAAAACTACAAATTAAAATAAAATACTTCTAGTTTTGAGCTAATAAACACCAACTCTAAACCAGTATCTTTCCCAATTCCATTGCCAAAGCCTCTAGCTTTGAGCCACAACCTATCAAAAACCCCTAAAATCACCAAAAATCTAACCAATAAAAAAGGTCCCCTTTTAGAGTTTGAGGCCCCAACAAAGGAATGAACTCTAAACCTAAACCAATTGCCATAGCCACACTTGCATGATTTACAATGGGAATAACAAAACCTCGACCAGAATCCATAAATACACCGCAAAGCCTAACCAAGTCTGGGATAACTTATCATTTTGTTAACACATTACAAAAATTCCCTCTCTGATTCAAAGCCGCTATTCCTGTTCCAACGAACCGGTGCCCCAGACAGGGTTTAAGAAGCAGAGACAAGTTAAACAAACGACCAGTTCATAAACGAGAACGCCAAACAGTGTACAGTGTTCTCGTCCGCCAAAAGGACTTTCCATGCGATGGCCTGCTCGTATGACACATGGCGTCCCATTGCTGACGTACAAATTCCACCCGGCAAGTACGCATACCCCTAAAAGAAATGGGTATGAAATGTTAGATACTGTGTCCGTCTCAATGTATTTGTCAACTTTCATTTCACCACTTTGACAAAAGAAGGGGAAGGAAATGACTGTTTTGCCATTGCTTTGAGGGCGGAGAAAGTGGACGAATATACTGGATAGCGCAAGAAAAAGAATACGAGACAAAACCAAAAAATGAATTTTGTAATGTTACCTGCTGCATGATTTTTGAAAGTTCGGAGAACAGTGTCTTTCGCCCGCGTTCGTCAAACATTTTATCCAGCGCAATATCTTGTAAACCAACCAAAGTCGTCTCCAACATGTCAAGTCCAGCCTTGTTAGCAAAGATGAAGACAGGATGTGACTGCAAAACAAAAAAAAAGGAAAAAGATTGAGTCCTACCTTTACAGAAAAAACATAAAATGTCATCATGGAAAAAACGCTTTTTTATGCTTGGTTTAAACATGGAAATATAGAAATGAAATGAATTTGATTTATATTTTGTATTTTTTAAAACATATCCCGAATATTTCGTAGAATTATGCACAGAGGACGAGTCGTACCTTTATAGAGCAGCATAAAATGGCATCATGATGGTTCCAGAGATTTTTCAACACCAATTCCCCACCAGCAGAGCTAGCACCACACAGTTCTGTTCCCATATGGTAACTGCAAGCCAAGAACAAATATTATTTCTAGGAGAGGAAAACAAAATGTGACAGAAAATTGATATATACTGTGTTCGCCTTTCCTGTGGAAAGAAGGGTAAATAAGTAAATTAAGAGTTTGTGGAATACATAAAAACAAACTTAGACATTTTCCTCTATATCGTCTCTTTCCTTAGCATTTTCCTGGTTGCAAATCAAACCCTTGGGGTCTGTTTGGATCCCAGAAAAAGCTAGAGAAGGAAAAAAAAAGATACCAAAGAAAGTTGTTTCTTACGCTTTATTGCGATGCAAAATGAAATACGGAGTATAAATTTTCTAATTGTTTACTTGCATTATAATTTCTTTCTAGTGATGTAATGCAAATAATATAAAGTATGGTTTTGAATGGATATCTACGAATAATAATACTTGCATTTTCGTTATAAAGAGGCATAATAACACTATGTATGTAGTTTTTCCTAGTAAGGGAAACAGTAGAGGAGAAACCTATAGCTCTGGCAGATCCACTGAGCCAGTGGTACAGCTTCCGGAGACGTGAGGGATAACTTGGGGCCACCAATAGGACCAGTTGGGGTTGGGGATATTGCCATTGCAACCCTCTGAACAGACGAAATCACACTGCGCACATACTGCCTTGCCGTTATAGCAATGTTACTCTGCAGGTTGATCTCAAACGGGAACTGGAACGCAATGGTCAAGACCGACCGCGCATAACTGGACTGGGTCCCGCACTGATTTCCCGCCAGCCCGACTTCAAGACTTGATGTTAAATCAAGTGTTCTTTGAACTGTGAGTGTGTCCTGCACGTCATTCTGGCCAGCATAGAAAATAGCATAAGAAACTTGTCCAAAATGGAGGGAAAAAATGGACAGTACTTCCTCCATCCCATAAAACTTTTCAAAGGTGAAAAAAGGCACACCTTAAAAATGTGTTATTTCGATGACTAGTAGTAAATGGACTTAACTGATTTTGATTCTAAGGAAATGATGCGAAAGCCGGATGGTATCAATAGAGCATCATCAGGGAAAGTCTCATCGATTGGAGCAAAAACAAGTTCTGCGCACCCTCCCACTGCATTCTCATCGATTCCCGTGCACATCTAGACAAGAATACCCATGGCTAGAGTTAACATTTTTAGTTTAAGGATTTCTTGCATTTTTTTCCTGTAAACAAAACTTTTGTTAATAAAGAGAACCTGTAAGAGATGAATGTCCCTTGTTATGTCTCTTGACATAAAAATATCCTCATTGTCAAGAGCATGCCCTTCAAGCCGGATGACTTCAAGCATCTGATAGCATTATTAGAAAACTTAAGACTACATGCTGACATAAAGGTTAAACACATTGGCTCATTAACCAAACACACCTCTTCGTGTTCTATAGTTTGCCCAAGTGGCATGATGATCTGGCTCCCAGTGAACCTTGTAGGCCTGATTCCGGGGTAAGAATAAGAGTTTGATTTCAAAGCAGCAGCAAAATAGGCATCCACATTAAAATCAGCCCACTCGGAACGATGTTCCCTCAAGAAACGGACTAGTACAGCTGGCGGGACATTCTGGGTGCTCAAAATAACTTAGAAAACAGTGATTTACTGATGCAATGAACATTCAAAGATAACATGTGTGAACTGTTGTTCAAAATTCACCTGTAGTAGCATAGATGCCTTTGCACATAAAACACCTCCAAGCATTTGATGTGTGCCAGAAGTGGGGCCAAAATTTTTGGTTGAGTTTATGGCAATAGTAACATCTTCAGCACCATCACAGCTCAGTATAGACCAACCATCATCATTGAATCCATTAACTGCATCATTGAACCCTCTGCAAAAAATAATGTTAACAAGAACCACCTTACAAAAAAATAACTCCTCTAAAAGATGTAAAAAAAGACCTGCTTAATCTCTGGCTAAATGTTCTTAGAACAGCTGGCTGTCTTCCCAGACCATAAACAACCTCACCACTAGTTTCTTGCGCGATTTGTCTGATATATCGCAGTGCCTGGAAACACAACATTTACACTCATGTCACACAACTCTATAAGGCGCATAAAAACAGTGACAGAATGATTGTAGACTCACTGCAACTGTCATCTTCTGGGCAATGACTTTTGAGGATTCATAAAGTGGGCGCAACACCTCGGGCACACTCCAGGCCTGATTAATCAGAGTCTTTAGTTGAATTGAACTGCACAAGTTACTGTGGTAAAAAGATCAACAGTAAGTTATAATAGAACTAGATGGAGAGCAAACCTGAAGATTAAGGTGGTCAACAATATGTATAATTGATCCTCCACCCTCACATGGACGAATGAGATATCCGGAAGGAAGAATTTCAGCTCTAACAAACTGAGATGCTGATGCTGGATGCGGGCCTGCCCCTGTACCCGTAAGTGATCTTTCACAAATCTGGTAAAAAGACATTATTATTTTGCACATCAAGAACCAAAATATGGTTAATATATCATAGTTCTTTATTCCATACGCATACCACAAAGCTGCCATTCTCCAGGGTGGTTGTGTATCTTAGTGTCCAAAAGTCACGGGCAGCAGCCAATGTTGTTGGAGCATATATCTGGCCAAAATGTTCCATGAATTGACATTGAAAAAATTAAGTTGTTTGAAATGATCAAGTTCAATGGCTTTCTCTTAGTTTACCTGAGAATAGAGAAGTTCGATAGTCCCTCCAGTTCCAGCAGGAAACATGGTGAAGACTTCAACATTTCGACAATCACGGAACCAACAAGAACGATCCTTGAGGATCTCAGCAATCTGCAAAGAGATAAATTAGAGAAAGAAACTAATTCTGAGATTCCCTAGAAGATTGTAGGGAACGGATCATAGTTAGCTTGCAAAAGAACTTACCTTGGTAGGCTCTAAACTAACAAGACCACATGCTCGTGCTGCGACTCCACTGCACCTATGTGAGATGGCAAAGATCCCAACCGAATCCGGACCAGGCTGCCAATACACAATTCACAACTTTGACAATGAGAATTTCGGTAATAAAGCCGAACAAATATTTAGTTTTTGAAATCTTTAACATCAATCTTGATATCTTAGTCTTTACATTATTATACAAATGTAGTATTTGGTTTCAAAAAAAAATCATAATTGGTTTCCTCTAGAAATCCTCTCCCTTGTAGTATTAGGCTTCTAAGCAAGTTGTTATAGTATACGGCAGTCCAACCTTCATCCCGGGCATCTGAACCCAATCCACAGCCGTTCCTGTAGCCTTTGAAAGGAACTCTGCCAATGTTTCTTCTGCAATTGAGAGTAGTCTGCAAAAAAAACAAGAATAAACAAACAATAACCAAAAAATTCAGACAAGAGCTCTAGTGCTAAAAAAAATAAAAGCTTGAATTACCCTGCAGGATTCGTTGCATCTCTTCTAGAATGTTGGGAGGTTGATACTGCTGAATCACTACTTGCATCTGTGGGTGTTGGTACCTAAAACAAGTCACATCTTGTAAATATTGACCAATAGATTGTTGTAAAATTCATACTCACGGCGCTAAAAGCGAACACATACAGTATGCAGTTGTTGGCGCATGAAGCCATTTTCACACACAAGCTGAGAAACTTGTTTCTGCAGGCGGTCGTTTTCCTCCATCAATAATTTGTTCATTGCACTTAATTTTCTGTTCACAGCCTGAAGACCAGAAGCCTCTTTTCTTTGCTTTTCCCTACATCTGCAGCAAGGAGAAGTTCACTTTTTTCTTAACTTTTAACATATCTTTTTTTACGAATTCGTAAAAAATTGGGTTTTTTTCCATTGATAAAATTATTGCCAAAATTATACTAAAATAATTGCAAAATAAAATCAAGTCCATTTGACATACAGTAATCTTAAGTTCAGCAATCGATTCAAAATTCCAGACATAATTGCCAAAAATCGTGCACCAGTGAGGATTCGTGCAAGAAAACATTGATATGATTTTTTCAAGATTCATTACCGTTAAGGTCAACAATAGACGGCAAAGTAGGCCCTTTATTAATTCTTTAAACAGTGGAAAAAACAACAAGAAGATGACAAATCAAGCTTCATTTATGGAAATGTGCAGCAAAATCTACAGAGGTTGAACTTGGACAATGAATTAAGAAATTACAAAAAAAAAAATGTAAAGCAGCATAATGACTCTTGAGCTAACCTTCGGTTCTGAAACCAGACTTTGATCTGTCTAGGTTCAATGTTAGCTAGAATGGGACATTCCCGGATCAACTGTTGCCGGCGGAGAGAGCTTGGTTTCGGGCACTCGGCGTACACTCTTTCCAAAGCCTCCACCTGCTCCGGCGTGTACCGGATATACTTGCCGGAATCTAAGTGTTTGTCAATGCTCCCACTGCTACTCTCCCTCTGATGCTGCTGCGCCGCAACCAAAGCCATTGGGTTTTTTCAAGACTTCTTCAAAGCTAAACCCCAGATATTTTCTCTGCAACTGGCTTTATATGTTCACAAGAAAGAAAAAAACAAGATTCTCTGAACTCTCAAGAACTTATCTTTTTCTGGGTTCTGTCTTTTCTCCTTTCTTGTAGTCTCAGACAGATTAAAGGGGAGATCTCGATTGAACCGGAAGATTCTTTTTGGGGTTCCTTTTCTTTCTTTCTTTTTTATGAGAGGTGATGAGAAGGCTGAGAAACACACTTCACGCCTAACCTTACAATTGTGGGTACATCCAAAACTGCAAAACTAAAGCTATGCAACCAAATTGTCTCACTCCCTCCATATGCAGACAAAAAATGACTGTTTTCTTGCGCAAGATAAAACCTTTCAATAAAGCAGCTGTTATCAAACGCGTGACCAAGGGAGAAACATACATCACCCACCCATTCCACCGCAAAATGCTAACATAACATTTAAAAAAAATCACTGGTTTTTTACCCCCCACTGTCAAACCCCAAACTTCCACAAACAAAGAAAATTGAACCCCACTTTGAGAAACAGCAAGACCCTTTTGCGGCAACGCTCAAAGCAGCCAATTAGCAAATGTATTGAGCCATATTCGGAAAACCCAACGGTAGCATTTTGCTTATTCTTTTCTTGATGCCTATTAATGGAACGAAGGAACTCCCAGAGAAGTTAAAAGACAAACAAAAAACAGAAAGATTGAAAATTTCCCACACACTCTTAATCTAGCAGAATTAGATGATAGAATAGATAAAACCCACAAAGAAAGATCCGTTTTTTCAACAAGAAATGGAAACCCAGATGCACCCTCAAGAATGCAAGAAATTAAAGTTTAGTCTTGTATGAACCAGCTTGAGGCTAGGCGGCTTGAGAGAGAGAGAGAGAGAGGATAGTTAAAAGCTTTGGCTCAGAAATCGAAGCGCCAGTGTTTATACGCTGCTGCAACTGTGCTGTGACTCTGTAGGAGTAGCTGGTGCGCTGTTCATTGTTCTTGTCTATTTCTCTTTATTTCAATTTCTTTTTTAACCATGGCTGTAATTTACGGAGTAGAAATTTTGAGTAATTTCTGATTGAAATTGCATAAATAAAGCAAAAAATAGCTCCATATGTAAATAATGGCTTACCGCTAAGCATGTTTTTTTTCTTTTGGCCAAATTTTTTAAATAGGGGAAGATTCAAGTGACATTGAACATTGATGTCATGGGATGACCTGGGGGCGCTCCGATGCCCCGTTCGTAAAATTGACGGTTTTTACCCCCTAACTCCCCCGATGAACCCCCCTCCCACCCGGGCCCGATCCGAAAACACACCCCCCACCCCCTTCAATTGCACCCAACAAGTTGATTTTGACTTTGGAGTCAAAATTTGACTCCAAAGTCAAAATCAACTTGTGGGGTGCAATTGAAGGGGGTGGGGGTGTGTTCGGATCAGGGCCGGATGGAGGGGTTTACCGTGGGGTTAGGAACCGTCAATTTTACGAACGGGGTACCGGAACGCCCCCGTGTCATTCTATAACATCAAGGTTCAATGTCACTTGAACCTTGGTGTTTTAAATATACCTTGTTTGGTTTTGGAGAAAAGAGAGGGGAAACATATGGAAAAAATTACTTTTGACCGGTCAAATGAGAGAGTCCAACAAAAGAAAAGAAAAATTAATTATACTAGACGTAATACATCACGGGCTTCCTTGCACAAGTTTTATGTCACTCTATTCATTCAGTTTGATTTTTCGAGTCAAATTGGATAAATTTTTAATTAGTTCAATTAAATAAAAATTGTAATATATGGAGTATATTAGTATAAAAATTATAATACCCCGAGTTAATAGAAAATGGAAAATGCTCAAAAAGTTTGATAGTACTACTCATAACAAGAAGAATCTTATTTTTGTGAGCTCATCACTTAGAAACTCTAATGTTAAACATGTTGGACTTGAAGCAATTTAAGGATGAGAACCCCCTGGAAAATTCTCCGGATGCGCACAAGTGAGGACAAAGGGCACGGAAACGACATGTATAGGATTGTGGGCCAATCTATAATCTTATAGGCAAATGCTTTCGACTAGGGTGGGGGCCGGGCCGCCGGGGTGTTACAAATGGTATCGGCCCAACCTTACGACTATAACGAGCCAAGAGATCATATTTCACCTAGCGTGGAATATCTAGGGGCTTGAAAAATAGTGCAACGAGGACGTTGCATTACTAAATGGGGGTAAATGTAATACCCCGAGTTAATATGGAATGGATAGCACTCAATTAAAGAAAATTGATAGTACTACTTATACTAACAATGAGCATCTTTTTTTCGAGAGCTCTGTTAAATAAATGTGGGGGGTGTCCTTTTAAATTATCCCTTGTACTCACATAACAAGTGGTTGAGAAATAAGAACTATTTGATTATTTTACAAGCTCATCGTTTAGGAACTCTAAAGTTAAACGTAGACTTGTGTTAGTTTGTGGAGCCAGTCTACAATCCTATGAGCAGACACTTACGATCAAGGTGGGGGCAGGTTGTAACAAAAATGATTTCATTAGATTTATCTTGTTAAAAATTTCAAAACTTGATTTTATTTTTTTAATATGTATTACAAATTATGAACAATTAATGATTAAAGTTCTTCCAATTTGGTTCGAAAAAATACAAATTGCAAATATATTGAGATGGGAAGTATCAAATCTCGAGAATGTTAAGAATTAGACTCAAGTCCAAATTCATTGTCATTGTTATTGATAGACTCTATATCATTCTAAATTTTTGTTGAATACTAATAATTTTATTATAATTTATTATTTAATCATACATTCTCAACTCATTGAGCACATAGAGTTATTACATTTACTGAAGATCGAATATACGACCAAGAATCTAAGAAAGAGGTGTTAGACAAAAACTAGATTGACATTGTTCTCATACTTTCACATTTAATTAAAAAATCATTTTCACTACATTTTTCATCTTTTGAGATTGGGTTTTGTTCTCATAATTGTGGGTGTCCCAATTTCGTTTATTGGCGTATTATCATGTTCTTTCTGTTGGGAATTAATTATCTCATTTTTTATCTTAGTTCGTTTCAAAAAAAATTGCTCCATCCTCCCGCTATATATGATCTCATTTTGACTTTACATTATTTTAATTGTTACCAATGAAAATAAAAAGATCTTTTCCCAAACAAAAAAACATTTGGTAAGATCTCTTAACTTTAAAAAAATCATTGAAGTTAAAATTAAGAAAATAAATATAGGACGAATGTAATACAAAGTTAGGGCGTATATACTCCGATACCAAACAAGGCCTTAGCTTACGGTAAAAAAACAAGCGCAGTATTAAGGGAAAATAAATACTCCGTAATCCGTAACAGCGTTCAACTAGATCGCAATTATTTTTCGGCGTGAGGTTAAAAAAACTGTTTGAGTTCTGTGGCTCGCTGCATTTACTAACTTGTCCCTGTAGAATATTAGAAATGACGTATGAGACCGATCCTTGTGTTTTCCCCTCTTTTTATTTACCTTAAATGAGATTTTACTTCAAGTATTAGAGCATCTCCAACCATGCTTGTTATATGGATTTGTTATTTTTATATTATAGCAAGTAAATAGTGATATAGCAAGCACTTTTTGCTTCATTCTCCAACTATTATTTATTATTTCATTTTTTAAGTATTGACTAGCTAAATTTTGAGGGACTTGTCATATTTAGCAAACCAAATTCATTTTTTGGCAAACTTGCTAAAATAAAGCATGCCCTTTGGAGAAGAATAAAAGTGTTACTCCGTAAACTAGTTACTTCGTATATTATAACTTTTAGCAAGTTAAAATGATATGGTTGGAGATGCTCTTATTAGGTGCATGTTTTATCACTAGTCTGCGACAAAAATTTAATATACCTTCTTCCAATTAACCTTCTGTCAGTGACCGTTCGGTCAAGTCTGAGAGTCCGCGGGAATGAAACTCATCCATTAAATAAAACTTTATTATAATTAGATCTGATTTTGTTTATCGTGGCCATCTATAGCATTTCATCACTACTCACCTCAAATTAGTAGTCAGTCAACATTATATTGAAAGAAATCACCTAAATAAGACTATAATATAGAAAAAGTACCAAAATTAGACTTCCATATTTTTATTTTTGAAATAGGAATTCACACTGTGGTAATGTGGATGTAATGTGACACTGTACACATGCACATTACTATACTTTTTGGTAATATACATGACCACGTTTGGTAATGCAAATGTACTTTAACACATATTTCGGGAATAAAAAATGGAATTTTTGGTATAATCAAGAGAGAAAAAACCAAAGTAAGACTAAAACATTGAATATATACCAAAATAGGACTTCCATGTTTCTATTTCTGAAATAGGACTTACATTACCAAACATGGTCATTTACATTACCAAAAAAGTATAGTAATGTGCACATGTACAGTGCCACATTACCAAAGTGTAAAGTCCTATTTCGGGAAATAAAACATGAAAGTCTTATTTTGGTACTTTAGAGTAATTCTAATATTTTCAATGTTTTACTCTACTTTACTTTTTTCCCCTTATATTAACGAACTCCACTCAGTTCACACTCTTAGTGCTTCACTATCACTGTAATGATTACATTTTTATTTTTTACTCCTTCCTTCTCACACTGTTCGCCACATTTCGAACAACGTGTAAAATATCATCTCTTTTAAAATCTTTGTATTTATAAATTGGTAGAGAAATAAAAGGTAAAAATTACACCGTTTAAAAGTATATCAAAATTTTTACAAATTTTTGCAAATTTTTATTTTATCAAATGGTCAACCAAAACGAATAAACAAACAAAAAATATCGAGGGACCGAAATAGTAAATGTTGCATTCTTTTTGGGACGGATGGAGTATTTGAAATTAACTTATTTCTACTCAAAAAAGAAATTCTTTCTTTTAAAAAAGAAGAAAAAAATTGTTTTTTTATTTTCAGGTTTATTGATTTTTTGTTTTGCTTTTTTTTTGGGTTTATTGGCGGTAATTTTTTTTTAATTCTTTTAGGCTTCTTCTTTTTTTCTCCCTTCGTTTTGTAGTATAATAATAAAATAAGAAAATATAAACTAAATTAATTGAAAAAACTAATACAAAGTAACACTAATTTCCGCTATTAGGATATTTTGTGTTTCTCTACTACGGATATGGGTGTGTCTTGAGATTCGTTCATCTTCTCAGTGACATCTACAATGCCTGGCTCATAGTAAGCGCAAAAATTGTACAAATCTCTTTCGTTTACTTTTTTAATAGCAAAATGAAAAACAAAATATATACACTAGTTTAATTAAAATAAAATATAAGCAAAACATAATCTATACTTAAAACGCATTTCGTTCAAAAAATAAGAATAAAACATATGTTGTAATTATTTAAATTTAGAAGTGTTTGAGTAAAAATATATGTGAGTCATCCCATAAAAATTATATATGCAATATTGGTGATGTTGTACCAGATTTTTGGATAGTGTTTAATTTAATGGATAGTGTTTAACTTTCTTTATATTGGGGATCTTTATTTTTGGATAGTGTTTAATTATATATGCAAGTTTGGACGTTTAGTTGAGTTGGTTTTTTGACAGTTGATTCTTTTTTTGGTTCATTTAGTCCCCACTTTTAATTATTAAACACTTCATACAATCATACATGATTAAATTAATTTTTTCTTTCAACATAAACTTAATTACAATGTCAAAGTCAATAAAATATAATTAAAAATTTTAACAAATAACTACACTATTAGAAATTAATATAAAAGTTTGCTAATTTGGTACTATGGGGGATAGCCGAGTCAGGCAGCCAAGTTCAAAAGCCCTTTGCAACCCACAACCTAACGGAGCCTGCTGAAGATCTGGGTCTGGAGATGGAGGAATGGGCCTGAGTTGACCCACC